AAGAACGATTGCCACGAACCTTAGAGCGATGGCCTCCAACCTAAGAATCGCAGACCGTACTCTGAACGTGTCCGCGTCGCAAAATTCCTCGTCGACGCACATCGGCCCTTTTGCCTTTGCACCTTCGATGCTCCGAAAACATGAATGTAGATTCCTTTGCTAGTAATTACAATTCTAATTAAATTCTTATTGTTACTACTAGTAAGGCACTTGTTTCTAGTAGCAAACATTGTTACTACTAGCGATGCACTTGTTACTACTGGCTTCCTACCCCCCCCAAACATGAGGTTGGAGGCCATCGCTATTCGGTTGAAGGATCATGTAGTGTCTACGACCCACCTGGATCGCCACATGTAGCTTTCAACTCGCCACATGTTTCTGGGCTCTTCGGGCACTTCGGATTTCTTCGTGCTCTTGCGGCTCTTCTTTTTGTTCATGGCTTCATGGCCTGGATTGCTTCCTCTGCCAGCACGGAGCAATGAATCTTCACTGGAGGCAGCTTAAGGTGCGAGGAGATGTCAGTGTTCTTGATCCTTAGGCAAAATATAGCAACAGTTATAGCAACATATCCATTCCAAACCACCTCGTGCCACCAGCTACTTTGCAGGCACATCTCATTTGTGTCCTTCAAAACAACCCAAAAATATCAAACATCGGCTAAGTCGTGCACTTGCTGGCCTGGAGAGAATCTTGCATGGTCACATGACTTTAACAAAGGAAAGGGACAGCAAATAGACTTAAACGCTGCAGCAGAACCCCACCCTTTGCTCGGACAGGCTCCAGTTTGCGCAAAAAAGGAAGTATGACATACATGACATACTAAGGCTTTTCGCTGGACACTCATCACAATCGAAACGCGCCCTCCCACCGCCGCCTCCTACCTAGAAGCGATGGCCTCCAATCTAAATAGCGATGGCCTCCACCTGCCCTCTAATACTACAGTAATTGCCACCTCCTCCACCTTCTGCCCAATGATCATTTCTGTCGCCTCAACATGTTGTGGGCTGGCACAGTTACTGCAACATGTCTCTGTCTTCCAACGGTTTTTGTTTGAGATGTCTTGGGCTGAACATGTCATTGAGCCTGCTGTCACTACTCACCTTGCAAAGTCCCACTGTACTGTGCATGCTAGCGTCCGTCTTTTCAATGCATTCCAGCTCATACCCTTTTACGACAAAACGAAAGGATCAAAAAGGACTCGAGGGAAATCTTTGGATCAAATCCATCCAAGAGTTTGCCCAGCAAAATCAGCGGTGTTGACCTGAGGAAACCACATAGGAGGAGCTTGCGATCGCGGATCCACAGCCAAACGTCTTGAACTTGGCATCCTGTAAAAAAAAAAACGAGACAGTCACGGTGTGGGCCATGTAGAGTGTGTCTTGTTCCGTCTTGCTCACACCACTGCTTTGGAGATTTGCTGTCAAGTTTTGGCCGGAGGTCAAAATGTATGTGTTTAAGCATGCTAGAAGAAGAATGCACCTCGATCACTCCATCTTTGCTCACCTTCACCTGCAGCGAGTTGTTTTTTCAAACTTGCACAAACAAATTCATCACACCTCTCCTTCCTCCGGCTTTGTCTTGCGAAGGCCTGGAGCTTGATCACATCGCCACAAGACGCTTTGCCCACCAAAGCAGAGCCAACATTGCTGTCCTGTGCCAGGGGCCACGAACGACGTCTCTAAGCCTTCAGATCATTTCACTAAAAAACTTGCTAGAGTTCAGGATGACTTCACATAACTCAGAAAAAAAAAAACACACATTGTTGTTCGCAGTGCAATGACTTGGCACAGAGTAGCTCAACTTCCGAATACTTCAGCAGCATCCTCTTTGTCAAGGCTGCCCACATTCCGAGGATTGTTGAAGTGATCGTGGACCACCTCATGATAGCCTGCCATACAACATGCGTCTTACGGTATCTATTGTCGATAGGTGGTGTTCACTTGCGGCACAAGTCAAAAACATACAAATCACGTCGGGAACCTACAGGACAAATCTATTCAAATACATGTTGACATCATGAGTGACAGCCGTCTGCAAGGATCTCGCGCCTCTGCGAAATACCATGGCAACCCTTGGGAATGTCGCACCCTTGGCTCCACGACGCATCCTGACATTGATCGTAGGGTTACAAGGATCGAACGTCGGATCCGCACACTCGCTGTTGGGACAACATTGTAAAAAGTATGGGAACACCAAACAAAGCGTCCTTGCAAAAAGTGGTCTGCCGTTGCTAAGATAGCTATGAATCAGTTTTAGCAGGAACATAAAAGAAGAAACATCGCAAAACACCTCTTCCAAACAAGCAAGGGGAACATCAAAGACATCGCCATGTCGTGAAAACCCCAAGGACTGTCAGCACGGCCAGCGTCGCCCGAAGGCTCAATGGCTGCAGAATGCTGCAGAGTTCTTGCACGTCGAGATGTCGCCAGTCTTGCGTTTGGTCAACTGGTAGTGTTTGGAGTGTGTTGATTCAATTATTTTAAGCTGACTTCACCGTGAGTTTAATATTGACAAACAAAAAACTACAAACTGGGTGCATCCTAAAGGAGATCTTAAGAGTACAGTATATCTATATGTTCTAGGTTTATTCATCTGACACAACGCGGAAACTGGTGGATATCCTTCAAGTGGCAAGACCAGCCACGTAGTTTAACACACATGAAAATCAGTATGCAAAGTTAGAGTCCCAGTTCACTTTCTGGATATCCTTCAAACAGCTCAGGGGTTTGGTCCATGAAAAAAAACCGCGACCACCTAGTTCGGAAATATATACACCGCACCACAGTTTGCTTGCAAACCGTGTAATGCCAGCTGGTGCAGGAACACTCTTCTGAATCCCTCAGAACCAAACTTTAGGCACAAAACCTTGTAGAGTCCCGTACGACTCAAAGCCAGCTGCGATGTTCGTCCTACCCGACCCGAAGCCAAACCGCGGTCTCTTTTCGGCGCTTGTTCCTTCAGGACGGGTCACAGCCTCACGCAAAGCTCAATGTCCTGCGATGTCATGCGTATTGAAGATCGCAACTGCTTTGCCTCCACGGGAATGTTTCTAATAGTAAGGCACCTGTTACTAGTAGTAAGGCACTTGTTTCTAATAGCGTGGCACCTGTTACTACTAGTAAGGCACCTGTTACTAATAGCGTGGCACTTGTTCCTAGTAGCGTGGCACTTGTTCCTACGACATCTGGAGACGAGTGTCACAAAGACGCAGCTAACATCGATTCTGAAAATGCTTTTGGCAAACAAGACGGAACACGCAAACTCTTTCGTCACAACCAAACTCTTTCGTCTCTTGACGTCTGTTCCAGCTCTGTTCCCGCTTCACGTTCAGATGTTGCTTTGCTGCGCTCACAGCTTGCCGTGACCTAGCGCAAGGGTTAATGAGGAGATAGAGATACGAGGAGGCATCGGGGGTTTATCCTTAAGAGGTGCTGTGAATCTATGCAATGGAAGAGCTTGTGAGCGGAATGATTCGGGCTATAGAATTGATTGTACAAATAGCCGCATCACGTCACATAAAGCTGCTGTGGCCTCTTTCACCAAATATATCCTTTTCTAGAGACCCCGCCAAGAGTAGAACCCACCTCTGCAAATGAAGGATACCAAGCCATTCAGGCCGCGTAGCGGTTCAAAGGAAGCAAACCTGTGAGATCGAAGAGGAAGAACACGGGAGAACAATGAATACTACTAGCGATGGCCTCCAACCGAACCGCGATGGCCTCCAACCCAATAGCAAACATGAATAGTAGTCAGAATGCTTTCCTAGTGTCACAAGGTCAACAGTTTTGAGAAGCCGTCTTGACCTTGATCTGATGGTTGCAAAATCTGCCGACCCTTCTTGCTGATCCTTCTTGTGACAACTTACCGCATGTGCATCCATGTGACTAATTAGATTACCGTTGTTGCCTGAAACATTTGCATGAACCCTGATACCTTGTAGGTTCTTCCACATGTCCAAGTTTCCATCTTGGTCGCCCCACAAGCACTAACCAAACAATAATACGATTCTCCTGTGAACTCCAAAAATAGTTGACATTCAAGAGGGTTCCTTGCTCCAGATTGCGACCTGAAGATGCTGTCCACCTTCCCGTTTGCCTGAAGACCATCTGATGAACTGGTTGCTTGGCTTGAACTTTGTCTCTCCTGACAAGAAAGCAAAAGAAGGAAAACTCTAAAGGTCTAAAATATAAAGAAATAAAGTAAATTTAACAAAAATACGATAACATAGTTTAGAAACAAGCTGTGCAAAATGCATTTCTACGGCCTCCCCTGCGTCGAGAGGAACGAAACAGAGAGGGCAGCTGCTCTTGCCTTATTCAAAGGCAGCCGATGTCGTAACTCAAAATAGCGATGGCCTCCAACCTAAGAGCGATGGCCTCCAACCTAAAAGCGATAGCTTCCAACCTACTAGCG